ATCCAGGAGAGCAGGGCACCCGCGGGGCAAGGCTTGCACTTGCTAACGTGACTGAGGAAGCAGGAATTCACGGTGCTTCTTTTGCAGCTTTGCCCTAGGATGGGGTCGCCTGGACATGTTATACTCCATGACTGGGGCTCCTGGGTGCAGAGAAGAAGAAAGCAGTGCACACCTGCCTGGCCTTGCAGCGGCCGGGAGGAAAGTGCAGCATCGCACTGACCATCGGAGGTGCTTCACAAAGTCAGTCACAGGCCCTTCTTGTGCAACACGAGCCCTGCATTGGCACCTACCAGCCACAGCCCAGCTGAGCCATAGTGCATATAGTCCAGCTGTGGCTGAGTCTCCCCGAAGTCGGAGAAGTCCCCTTTTGATCGTATACCATGTTGTCACTGGTATTTTTGTAGCTGCAGCCAGCTGCCTCGGAGCCTATCAGCCCCCGCTTCTTCATCACCCTCCCCCTAACCCCAGCATCAGCTGGTGCAGAGCCATATGTGCCCCTTCCCCCTCTGCTCGGAGCTATGGATGCTGAGGATACGACTACAAAGGAGTAAGAGCCAGCAGTTGGCTTCAGATCTATTCCCAGGGCTCCCGTTTGTCTTCGGTAGAAGCTGCACGTTTGTATCGAAGGCAGGGCTAGGTCCCAAGAACTGAGCATCTGGAGGGAAGTAACCGCGCGCTCACCTGCAGGCAGTCATAGTGGTCCAGCGCTCCGCCCGTCCTCAGGATCGGGGTAGACGGCGAGCTGCTCGTGGTTTATTAATAATCAAAGCAGCTTGTTCTGAGTGCCGGAGTTACCGAGTGCATAGCGGTTGTGAGCAAGTTATCAGCAAACAACTGACTTTGCCAAGCAGAGCGGGTATAAAAGCATAACCTCGCTAATAGTCGGTCTCTTGGCAGACTTTTATGTCTGCAGTCCAGTTACTAAGTGGTATTACTCTGAGCTTCACACTGTCTTACTTTGCTTTAATAATAATTGGCTGTTACTGTCTACAAAAAGCTAGGGGAGTGCGAGGAAACCTTCCCAGACGGCAGTGGTAGATAAATTCCCATGTGCTTCCACCCTTCCTGTTCTGCGGATTACTTTCTGCATCTGTGACAATTGTGCATCTGGTCTGTGGGATCTCGCATGGTTATTCTGCCCCAGGGAAAAGCTGCCAGAAAACCATATGGGGCTTAGGGAAGGGGTCTCCTTCACGGATCTCGGAGACAACAGAGTCCTTGGTTCTTTGCCGGAAAGGCGTGTGCTGCCTGGGATACTCTAGACTCGAGATTAAGACTGTCATTTGCTTTGCTTTTCTATAAAGTCCATTTTGTAAAAGGGTTTCTGCACTTCCGAACTAGTTGGTCAGTTTGCAACAAGATTGAATCCCACTGAGAATGAAGGCGGCTCCCCCCCAAGTTTGTGTGGACATCAGGAAAAATCCCGAGTGCACATATTGCCCCTTGCTGCACTTGCAGCTTCCCTGTCTTGCACACACAGTCAGTTTAAAGCTAAGTGTACGCAAGTCCTGGTCCTGATCCAGCAATTGCTGTTATTACACACATGCATGCATGTGGGCCGCTGGCTATGGTCATGGACTGGAACCCAACTCCGCCACCGTTGTGGGTCCTTGGGATATGTCACCTCCCCTCGCTCAGGCTCTGCCTCGACCCTCTGTCCTGCCGTGTCTGTTCAGGCTGCAGCTTGGCGAGGCAGCACCTGTCTCGTTGCAAGTATAGTAGAGGTTTTGGGGCGTCAGGGCTACTCTAAGCCACAGATGTTGGAACGCGCTGGACCTCAGTATCTCCCCTTTCCATCTCTTTTCCCCCCCCGAACTGACCACAGCATGATCCCATGCCAGGAGCAGGGGCAAACCGTAGCTGTCAGCACCCTACGGGAGCTTAAGAAAAGATGTGCCCAGAACTGATTCTCAATAGAAATTTCTTGCCAGGAGGTTGTAGGGCTCATTTAAAAACATATTTCTTATCACATTAGTCTGGAAACTAGGCACCATGCAGGCATAGATGTGTGTGAAGTGTCACCCTGCAAAATTCCCGGCTCGTCGGGGCTCTTCTTGGAGGCTGAGGGGCGCCCTGCATTATCTCTGCATGCCCCGGATGGGTGGGTTCCTGGCCTCAAATTTTTTCTTGCCTTTCTCAGAAAATTCAGCTGCAGCAGAGATGAAGCTGAGGACATTAAAGCCGAGGAGGAGCTTACAATCTCATGAGCACATGGAAAGGGGTTTAGAGTGGGAGTGGGGTTGTTGGTTATAGCCGTGTTGGTCTAAGGACATAGGCAGGCAAGTTCTTGGGGTAGATGCGGTATCTTTTATGAGACCAATTAAATAGTTGGAAAAATTGTTCTTTGCAAGCTTTCAGGTACAAACACCCTTCCTTCACCAACAGATATGCCTGAAGAAGGGTGTTTGTGCCTGAAAGCTTGCAAAGAACAATTTTACCAGTTATTTAGTTGGTCTCATAAAAGATATCACCTCTACCCCAGGAACCTTGTCTGCCTGGAGTGGGAGAGCGCTCTTCACTTCCACTACAGATCTTGCTTCCAGTAAGTGGTGTAGTAAACCCGACCCGTGCTCCAGAGAGATAACCGGCCTTTGTGCATTCAGGTGCACACAGAGTATATTGCAGAGTGATGTGCTTGTGGCTAGAAAAGGTGGTGGGGTCAAGCTGTGTGGTAATGAAGTTTTCAACAACAGCTATACGCAGCCATCCATGCAAGAGAGAGAGATTTGTCCATGGCGTGATTTATCGCCGCCAACTTCACTATGCTAAGAGCTCGTTTGCTGAAATTACAAAAGCTGTAACTATCCCACGGTACGAGGTGCTCGGTGTATTCCTCTCTGCATTATGCACATCGCCCAATGGGGCTGTGCGTCTACATAAACAATTTAAAGTTTTTTATGGGGAAAAAAATCTCTTGACAGTATAAAACAGCACAATATGAGGCAAGGCTTTTTTTGTCTGTGCAAAAACAGAATAAATAAATGGATAGAAAGGAATTGTATTTCATATATACTGTGAGCTTATTAACAAAAAAAGGTCTTGGATCAGTAGATGAAAGGGTCTCTCTCTATTGAACTGCTAGATGGAAAATTGTATATATTCTTAAGGCTTCAATTGCCAGGAGACACTGTCCATGGATTTTCTGTGGAGTTGACTCAGGGGAAAAAGGTCCTGAATGCATGAAAACCATGAACATTTTGCCTGTTTCATATTCATAGTTTCTTCCTTATGTGTGACTGATTTATTCACTGCTGCGCCCCCAGGGTATACATTGTCCAAAATGCTGCCGAAAGAGAAAGGCACTCGCCCTTTCCTGTCCCTTTTTTTTAAGCAGAGTTGAATTCTTCCAAATGGAAGGAAACAAACTAATTTTTTGTTTTTTAAGTGCTGAGCTGCACGTCACGAATATTGGGTTTTCCCGTGTTTTGTCTTACCGTGTTTCCCTAGCAAAGGAGGCCTGGTATAGCAAAACCCTGAGCATGGCTCCAGCTTGGCAGCTGGAAAAGAAGTGTGTTTTAGGGATGCCTCTCTGTGCTGTGAAATATGATCTTTCCTGGTTGCATATCATCTCAATAGTTGTATATGAGCATCTATACCGTGTGCTTGTATTATTTATAAAGTGCTGCAGTTACACAGGCGCAGAGGAAGCAAATGCCCGTAGGTATTTTTGCTTCTGGTACAGACCTGTTTTTTGCCTGGAAAAGTTATTTGATTTTCAGTGTGACTTCTTAGCACCCTGGCACGCATCAGCGTTGAAAACAATGGGAGCACAAATTACTTTGACAATGTCAGCAAAGCAGGCTCTACCGAGTGGGCTTTCTGTGCGCAGCACAATGCCCAGAATTACAGAAAAGCAGACTGCAAGGCAGAAAGTTCCCCGCCAGTACGTGCAAATATGTTTCAGCAGGAGAAACAGCAACTTCCTAAAGGGGCAGCTCATCGGGGCCGCCTTCAAACGCCGTCCAGGTGCCGAGGAGCAGTTCATTAAGCGATGCCGTAAGAGGGCTCTTCATGGTGCGGGGAAGCTATTGTTAAGCGCCCCTGACAGATGAGAGCAGACCCTTTGCTTGTCACAATAGCTGCTCACACTGAGCAAGTCTCATTAAATATTCAGCTCCAGCCCCAAGCAGCTCATTAAGTCAGCAATGAGCAGTGACGCTGATGTTGGAAAACCCTGCCTCGGTTAACATCACCATGCAGAGGCTTCTTGGCTCTCTCGATGCTCTTCTGCTCAGTGCCTTCTCTATGATGACCAGCTGGTGCTCTCTGCTTTGCATTAAGTACAGGTAAAAGCATTAAGGTACATTCGAGTCTGTCTTTCCCCGTCTCTGGCGTGGTTGCAGTGCGTGACTTGTCCTTCTTGGGCCTTTCTCAGCGCGTGGCTGTGGGGCCCAAGCGGGATTTTCTCTCGGTGCGGCCGAGATTCAGATTTTGAAAGAGGAGGGTGTGACGGGGATTGTATTGCTTCTGGGCTTAAAGGAGCTGAATTCTTCACCGTTTTAAGACCTGTCTGTGATATTCTGTGTTAGTTACTGTTACCCAGCATAAAGTTTTACAGTAAGTGTGTATCCTTCCCCCCCAGACATTGTTGTGTGGTCGTGTGGTTTGAGACGATGCATTGGCTTGTCTCACGGGCAAAGGACTGGCAGCCAGTGTTTCTTTCTGAACTTTCTATTTGAAATCCAGATCCAAATGCTGAAGTGACTGGTCTTAATTTTATGGTAACTAATCCTCAGCAATAGCCTGCTCTTAAAGGGGAGGGGCGGTGTGTATTTCTGGCGAGTGGGTGTCAGGTATCAGTGAATACAATGCCTCGGGGTCTGAAAGTAGCAATATAATTGTATGCAGCTTCAGTGGGTTTTCACCAACCGGCATTTAAGGCTTTAACATCTGAAAGGCTGAACCAGAAGTGGAAAGGCAGGACACATGCAGGCGCTCTTTGCTTTTCTCCAAATGTGATTTTTTCACACCGCTGAACTTTTTCTCTCTTCCTTTCGCAGAAAGTGTTTTCAGACTGCTCATTTCTATGTGGAGGACAGCAGCTCGCCTCGAGTGGTCCCCAATGAAAGTATTCCCATTATACCTATTCCAGGTAAGGCAGGCCTCACTTCCTGCGCGTGCTGCGTGCGGCCAGGTGCTGGCTCACTGGTGCTGGGAGGGAAAGGCACGTTGGTTCGGTGACAAATTCTGATTGCTCTCTCAACTCTTGGTAGAGGTTTTGCGACGTCTGTGCCAGCGCATCTAAGTGAGCGTGCCTTGCTCTTTGCCTCTGGCAGTGGAACCGGTGTGTTTTTATCACAGATCACTGCAAATCCTGGAGGAACTTTGTTAGAAGTGGTACTTTTTTTAGCGATAATAATGCCTGGCATTCAGTCCATAATAGGTTAGGGGTTCAGAGGACCCTGGTGCGAACAACTCCACTGGCTGCACCGGAGAGGTTGCTCCCATCTTTTCCAGGTGTAGCTTTGCTCCTTTTTGAACTAGCAAGAGAGGAGGGGACTGTGCACAGACAAAGCATCCAAGTGGATTTAAAGGTGTAATATTCAAGCTATACGGGCCGGCTTCTTCCCTCAGCTGAACTGGAATGAAGGGGAAAGCAGGCAGTGCCTCCGTGTCCCTGTCATCCACGAGAGGCAGTTTCTCTCAGTATTACCAGCTGCACTAGCTTGTTTCCCTTTAAATGAGGATGACAAAAAGAAACCCCAAAACTTTTGCAGCTGCAGCAGTGGCATAGCCTTTGCAGTACCTGCCTTGTATGGTAGTATTCAGTCTTGTTGACACAAGTAAAATGTACACTATGTTATAACAAGTTTAGTTGCACAAAGGGGGATCTGACTTGCTGTGGCAGGCTGACATGTTTTTCCTCTGTTCCCTTCTCCTGTTCCATAATTTTGGTTTGACAGCTCTAGGCTTCAGACTGCAGTTATTAAATTAATTTTAACAAAGACTTTCAAAGACTGTCTCTAACAGTCTAGGAAAAGAGACACTGAAGAAATACCCTCATTAGGAAAGGGAAAGCATCTAGTTAAATTTTTCGTAATTGCATTCATAATTGTATGTCTAACCTTCAAGGGTGACAATGTTAAACGCACCTAAGGGAGTTAACATGAAACGTTAGCTATTCTCTCCTTATGTGAAATGTTCGGTGATTTGTACCACGCTGCTGATAGTAGTCTGAGTCCTGTCTCTGTAGAAACAAAAAGTTACTGTCATCCTCTGTCCTTATCTGTGGAACATGCAATGGAAGAAAAATATGGAGACCCACATACTTTTGCTAGTAAGGACCCACTGTCCCCCTCTTCCTCCTTGGCGGTACATAGGGATGAGATGTTTCCATCCCAGGTCCACTGTGATGGGTGTGCAGGAGCTTTGCGCCACTGCCTTGTCTCCCGTTATAGGAAACATCAATGCTGCAAGTCGTAATATCTTTTCTTAGCGAGGCTGCTCTTGCAATCAAAGCTACTGATCGCTGCCCTGCCTTTGCCAAACCTTGCATGTGATGCCACCTTGGAAATTACTAGAAGGGGCTTGGGTCTGTATCTGACTGGTCTGTGCAAAGCCCTGTTTAAACTAGGTGGACCATATTTTGCTCTCCTTACCCTTCACTTTCAGCTCCTGATCCATCTGGTTTAGACCCACAGTCTTTGGCCTTTCTTATTGCAATGCCTGCGTGCAGAGAGACCGGCTGATTTGGTGCTAGGTGGATGATGGGGACAGAGCTCACTGAGTTAAGCTTGACCTGCTGGTTTTCTGGTGTTGATAATACTAGTAATAGGAATAATGGGAACTATAACAGCAAATGCAAGCACTTTACATCCAGCTGAGGATCTCAAAGCGCTCTTCCCACAAGGTTAGGTTAACACTCCATGAATAAGGGGTATGACGCCACTTTTAAAAAAGGGTAAATTGAGACCCATGGTGACTAGATGACATGCCCAAGGCCACAAAGTTGGTCAGCGGCTGAGCTTCATGCCAGTTCGGTGCCTCGTGTGCTCAAGATTGCCCTGCCTTTCCTACTGCAGGATAGCAGTGTGGCATGAAAAGGATGTTTAGTTGGTCAGAGTGGTCCTGAGGCCTGCTCCCTTTCCCCATCCCCTGGCTAACCAGCTCCTTCATCCTGAACCGCAACCCCTACGCGGCAATCCTGCTGAAGGATTTTAGAAAGGGTAAATGGCAAAATCCCCCTTCAGTTCCCACATCATGCTGATGAAATGATGCTGTTTTTGAACTTCCCTTCTGGAAGCTGCAAGAAAATCTGACTTGCCGTATTGATCCTGGAAGTAAAAGAGAAAGGATGTTTTAAATGAAAGTGAGCTCTTCAAGCTAACCTTTTTAGGTTGTGATACCCCAGGCAGTGCCTTAAAAGATATTTAAATAGGTCCCCATGGAGCTATGTGACTGTTTCCTTGAATGGAGTGGACCAAATTCCTCTCCCAGCTACACACCCAGACTTGGCTACAGCAATTTAGCCTCGCTGCTTTAGAGACGTGGAATAGCTTTGCCAGGACCCCACGTTTCCTCTGCTCCAAGACCTCTAAAATCCCCGGCAACCTCCTCACGTGCCAGCAGTAGCTCCTGCCTCATTACGGTGCATTGCAGGTCCACGAGCAAGGAAATCATCGAAGAGAGGAGTGGCTTCTACCCTTTTTCTGCCTCACTTCCCACTGCAGAAATGTACTTAATTATTGAGCATGAAACCACATCACCCACAGGCATACACTTAGCTATGCAAATTTTGCCCTGAGACCAAATGCCCATATAATAATTCATAATTATCTGCACTGCTTGATCTAGAGACGCACAGGACAAAGGAGGTATCATTAGCTGAATCAGCCCCTGGCTATCGTGAGGGACGCGTGAGCCTAAACGCGGCATCAGCCTCATTTACAAGCTTGCCCCGAGGGGCAGCCCTCCCGTGATCAGTGGCAAATCTCTGACCTGCCATCTTGGTGCATGCAATTATTTCCCCAGCTTCTCTGTCTTCCTCTCCTCAGCTGCTTGATTTTGGATGGGTCTCTTTGCAAGTGTGCAGTCATAAATAAGCCACCTCTGCCTTCCCCTGCTTTCCAGCTGGGGCAGCATCTGCTGCAAGTTACGGCACTTCCACGTCTCTCCCCTCCGTCGGCAGGGTCCCAATGCTCACAGGAAGAGCTGATTTACCTACAGACTTGAGCTCTTCCTCCCCTAGGTGCAAGCCTCGTGCTCTAGATGGGCATTTTCCTCATATCACAAGACTGGATTTGCTGAAGGGCAGCAGAAGCAGAATTATCCCTGTGCATCACAGATGGCGATGGCAGGCAGGGGGCAATGAGGAGTACAAGTGCAGACCCCTGAACCAGGAACGTCTGTTGCATTGATGCTCCCCATCGTGTCGTCTTCAAGCAGAGCCCTCTCCTCCCGGGAAAGGGACTGATGTCCCAGAGATGCTTGGATTCCTTCCAGCACCGGCCTACCATGACTCTGCCGGACAGGACAGATGAGGTGAGCCATATAGTACACACATGGGGTTACCAAATCCACTCTGTTGGGCATCAGAGTCCATCTCCTCCATGTTCAAAGAGAAAGTTGCTCTCTCCACCAGGCTCCCTGGCCAGAACAGCAACACTAGAGTATCAAGAGAAACTGCCTCTGGGAGCAGGACATCGCAAGCACCTGCCAGGATTACTTGTGGTCCTCTTGCACCCTTGGCACCAGGACGAGCGCACGATGGTCTTGGATAACTCCAGGAACTGCTTTTGTGTATTGCCAAAGCACTGGGGATGGAAGTGGCTTGATCCCGGGGAAACTCTGACAAGCTGTTCAGCATCCCATAGCAAGGATTGCCCTCTCCATGGGCAAAGGCCGGCTTGAGTCGGATGAAGTAAAGTGCATCAAGACACGGTATCAACACCGTTAATGGGCAGGGAGTCCTGTCCTCCCAGCTCCTTAGTTTTGCTGGTGTTGAAGTTGAGCAAGAGCCCCCCAGAACAGCGAGCTGAAATAGCACAACCAGGGAGGGGGCAAAGCTTATTTATCTGTGTATGAGATGTATTTGCTGCCCTCCCTAAGAGCAGCTCAAAGCAGCTTACAGTAATAACCAGATAAAAATAAAGACAGATTAAAATAACAGGTAACAGAACAAACTCGTGTTCCCTGGAGAGTTACTTCTCAGGGCTGCGGTGGAGGAGGTCTCAAACCAGGAGAAGCAGCTTTCACTCCTGGCATTTTCTAATCACAGGGAAGAGGAGGGGCCTTCGTCCCACCCTAGACCTGGGCAGACCCCAGGAATACAGGCACTACCTTGCATTCAGGATGGAAATGCTTCCCTTCACCGTACCACGGCTCCCAGCCTGAAGGACATGTTTCTGTTGTAATCTCTTCAGACCACTGGACATGCCGGAGGGGTCGACTCAGTGACCCAGCCCTCCCTTCGCCCTGCAGATTGTCCGCAGCACCAAGTAGTGTCCAGGCGTGTAAATCCACACACACGTGGCTGCGTCCCCCAACAGAGAAGTGCGGGAGGACTCAATTCTTGCGCCATGTTTAGCCCTAGGGTTCAACTCCTGAATCAGCTGATTACTCGTCATCCCCCTCCTGAAGCTTGAATCAGCATGAGGAGAGGAAGACACAGCATAGCCTGGGTGCAGCTTCACAGCTGTGTGTGTGTGTGTATAGTGTGTGTGCATGCACGCGCACATGCACATATAAATATATAAGCATAGAGATATTCTTTCTATATCTGCATTTTATATACATGCGAAGCAGTACTCATAATAGGTCTGAATAGGTTAAACAAATGCAACAAATTGGCTTAGGCTGGGAGGAAAAACCCAGTATGCTGTTTTCCAGCGTTCAGGCTCCGCTCTCTAAACTCTGGTATGAGTGCTTACCATTAAACTCATATATTGCCCCACTGATTTGAATGGGACTGCTCACAGGCATAGATCTTTAAGCCTGAGATGGCAGAATTGGGACCTTAGGATGGAAATATATGGGATTACTAGCAGTTAGTTGCTAGTTGTATCCCAGTTGTATCACTTAGCTACAAGAAGTAAAGTCATTTTTAGTGTGTAGGTAAATGGAAAGCTCAAATCATTTCATTCTGGGAGATGA